TCTCTCGGCCCACAATTTTCCCAACCATATTAAAGCATTTGGGCTTGGTGAGCACTTCGGATCTTCCAAACTCCGGCTCTTTCGGACTTCGGCTTCTCCATTTTGCCTCCTGGGATACTTCTACTTCTTCTTAATCAACTGCAAATCAACACTATTTCTTCAGTTGGACACGATTATTGTCTCGTTTGAATGAGAGCCTACCATCCTCCGATCGTTCGACACTTCGCCATATGTTTATCCCGGGCTTCGCGGGATGTCTTTTCCTCGCCTCTCTATCACCGAGCTTAGCTCTAAGTCCTCGTCTATTCGAGGTCGGCTTATAAGACTCCGACAGTTCGACATATCGTCAAATGTTTATTTAAGGCTCCGCAAGATGTCTTCCTCACTTCTCACTTTTGTCGAGCCTGACTCTAAGTTCTCGTCATTCCGAGGCAAGTCATTAAGCCTCTGATAGTTCGAGACTTATTCGTGGAACGTCTATCTCCCGCCTCACCAAATGCTGTCTGCAGCTTGACAAAGTTTCAACCCTCCCGACGCAGAGTCCCCTGTGGATCATCGCCTCGGCTGTAGCGTTGCGAAAGCTTTACCGACCTTCAGCCATCTCCCGCATCGGTCCTAGATGAGCTCCTTACTCAACTTTACAAAGTTTAGTCACACCTGACGCAGAGTCCCCTATGGATCATCGCTTCAGTGGCTGCATTCTCTCCTAAACTTTACAAAGCTTTAGCCATCTCTCGTATCGGTAGCAAATGAGCTCCTTACTCAGCTTTACAAAGCTTAGACGCACTTGACGCGGAGTCCTCTGTGGGTTATCGCATCGATGGCTGTGTTTCCTCCTAAGCTTTACAAAGCTTTAGCCGTCTCCCAACGCGTCGTCCCCTGTGGGTCAGCGTATCGGTGGCAGATGAGATCCTTCCTCAAGTAGGCATTGAAGCTTTAGCACCTCAGTCGAAGCTGCGTCCCAACCTTCAGCTTCACAACCTTTAGCATCTCCCATGTGAAGTCCTCTGAGTCAGTGCTTCTTTAGAAACAGCTGAACGTACAACCACAGCAGCAACCATACACTCAGTTGATCTTAAAAAGTCAACAGCTGGTATACATCAATATGCTTCAGTATCAGTACAGCTACTTATATTCAGTCCAGAGCATCGCCTCTACTGCTGCATCTAGAGCATCGCCTTTGCTACTGCATTCAGAGTACCGCCTCTGCTATCAGAGCATCACCTCTACTACTACGTCCTAAGCATCGCCTCCGCTACTACAATCAGAGCATTACTACTGCATCTAACGCATCGCCCTTGTCGCCTATGCTACTTACATTCAAAGCATCGCCTCTACATCAACTTTATAACAATGGTACTTCAAGTCCGACCTGTATATAAATATTCGGCTCATACTTGGGGGGCTGCATATTGTTGCTAGCATACACATCACATTACTGCTTCCAAACATGAGTGACATATCACTACTACCATGTAATACATTATACGCATCACATTACTGCTTCCAAGCATGAATGGCATACCACTGCTACCATGTCATATATTATTTTCATCACAGCCAGTATGTATGTCGTATCATCGTTATTCTTATTTTATTGTCGACATCACGTTACTTGTTTCACTATAGCACTACGGATACACTGAGCTGTGCGAGCACATGATTTACTATAATGCATGACAGACCCTCTGCACATATCTTGGAGAAATGTGATATGTTACACCTTTTGAGCATTTGAAGGGGCAAATGGACCCCAAATTGATTTGGTATATATGCTATGGATATATTGTATTGTATTACAAGATTGGTTTAGTCCATATTACAGGAGAGATGCTGTCGAAATTTTCAAAAAATATATGCAGTATATCTTTCGAGGCAATTCGTAAGCCCTCGCTTATTCTGACACACATTTTCTGAGGCGGTTCGTAAGTCCTCACTTATTGGAGCAACTCATATTTCTCGAGGCAATTCGTAAGTCCTCGCCTATTTGAAATCGATGTATATTCTCAAGGCAGTTCGTAAGCCCTCACTTATTGGAGCTACCTATCTTTCTGAAGCAATCTAGGAGACCTCGCCTACTTCAAAGTTTATATTCCAAGTCCGACCCGCATATAAATAATGCGACTTGGACTTGGGGGGCTACTGTTATGCCTATGAATTAT